GCACTTTGGGAGGCTGAGGTGGGCAGATCACCTGAGGTCAGGAGTTCAAGACCAGCCTGGTCAACATGGCGAAACCCCATCTCTACTGAAAATACAAAAATTAGCTGGGCATGGTGACATGCGCCTGTAGTCCCAGCTACTTGGGAGGCTGAGGCAGGAGAATCTCTTGAACCCAGGGGGTGGGGAGGTTGCAGTGAGCTGAGATAGTGCCACTGTATTCCAGCTTGGGCAACAGAGTGAGATTCTGTCTCAAACAAATAAACAAAAAACAAAAACCACACACACAAAAAAACCATTTAACTCTCCTTTTTTTTTTTTTCCCCCAGACAGGGTCTTGCTCTGTCACTCAGGCTGGAGTACAATGGTGCAGTCACCAATTACTATAGTATTAAAAAAAATTAAGATACTTCAGAGTATATTTAAGCAAATGAAGCAAGACTTGTACACTGAAACTACAAAACATTGTTGAAAGAAACTAAATACCTAAATAACTCATTATTCACGTGTTTGTGCTGGTGCTGTTCTAAATCTATTGCACTGACAGTTCTAAAAATTATAGCCCAAACAACGATGTATCGTACATAATACTTGATGATGATAATAAATGCCTATGTTACTGGTTTATGTATTTACTATACATTTTATTGTTATTTCAGAGTGTACATCTCCTACTTATTTAAAAAAGGGCAGGCCAGGTGCGGTGGTGGCTCATGCCTGTAATACCAGCACTTTGCAGGGCCAAGCCGGGTGAATCACTTGAGCCCAGATATTCAAGACCAGCTTGGGCAACATAGTGAGACCCCATCCCTACGGGAAATATAAAAATCAGCCAGATGTGGTGGCACAGGCCTGTAGTCTCAGCTACTCAAGAGGCTGAGATGAGAGGATCTCTTGAGCCTGGGAGTCAAGGCTGCAATGAGCTGTGATTGTACCACTGCACTCTAGCCTGGGAGACGGTGAGACCCTGTCTCAGAAAAAAAAAAAAAAAAAAAGGTGGCTGTAAAACAGCCGCAGACAGTCTCTTCAAGAGGTATTCCAGAAGGCACTGTTATCATAGAGATGGCAGCTTTGTGTGTGTTAATTACCCTTGAAGACCTTCCAGTGGAACAAGATGTGGAGGTGGAAGACAGAATGATGATCCTGACCCTGTGTAGGCCTGGGCTAATGTGTGTGTGTGTGTCTTAGTTTTTAACAAAACATTTAAAAAGTAAAAATAAACAGATAGTTATATAGATAGAAAAAAGCTTGGAGAATAAGGATATAAAGAAAATGTTTTTGTACAGCTGTATAATGATTACAAAAGAGTCAAAATGTTAAAAAAATTAAAAAGTTTATAAAGTAAATAGTGTTATGGTAAACTAAGATTATTGTTGAAGAAGGAAAATCTATTTTAAAAATAAACTTAGTGTAGCCCAATTGTACAATGTTTATAAAGTCTAGAGTAATAGTACTGTTCTAGGCCTTCTCATTCAATCACCATTCGCTGACTCACCCAGAGCAACTTCTAGTCCTGCAAGCTCCATTCATGGTAAGTGCCCTATATAGGTGTACCATTTTTTAGTCTTTTTGTCTGTTTTGAGACAAGGTCTCGCTGTGTTGTCCGGGATGGAGTACAGTGGCATGATCCTGGCTCACTGTAGCCTCGATCTCCTGGGCTCAATCGATCCTCCCACCTCAGCCTCCCAAGTAGCTGGGACTACAAGGCATGCACCACCATGCCCAGCTAATTTTTGTTTTTTTTTTCCTGTAGAGACAGGGTTTCACCATGGGGCCCAGGCTGGTCTCTAACTCCTGGACTCAAGCGATCCACCTGCCTCTGCCTCCCAAAGTGCTGGGATTACAGGTGTGAGCCACTGTGCTTCAACCTTTTTATCTTTTATGCTGTATACTTACTATGCCTTTTCTATGTTTAGACACACAAATACTTACCATTGTGTTACACTTGCCTACAGTATTCAGTACAGTCACATGCTGTACAGGTTTGTAGTGTAGGAGCAATAGGCCATATCATATAGCCTAGGTGTGTAGTAGCTATACCATCTAGGTTTTTGTAAACATACCTAACGACGTATTTCTCAGAAATGTGTCACTGTTATTAAGTGATACATGATTGTACATTTAAATTGATTATTGATAATGAAGGATTTATGCCATTGTGGTTTTTTTTTTTGTATATGTCTTATATTTTTTGTTCCTAAATTCCTCCTTTACTGGCTTATGTGTTAGATACGTGTTTTCTTTCTTACTATTTTTTTTTTTTTTTTTGAGATGGACTCTTGCACTATTGCCCGAGCTGGAGTGCAATGGCGCGATCTCGGCTCACTGCAACCTCCGCCTCCTGAGTTCAAGCGATTCCCCTGTTTCAGTCTCCTGAGTAGCTGGAACTACAGGCACCTCCCACGATGTCTGGCTAATTTTTTTGTATTTTAGTAGAGACTGGGTTTCACATGTTGCCAAAGGTGGTCTCAAACTCCTGAGCTCAGGCACTCCGCCCACCTAAGCCTCCCAAAGTGCTGGGATTACAGGTGTGAGCCCCTGCGCCCAGCCTCCTTGTTATTGTTTTTTAAAGAGATGGAATATTGCTGGGTTGCTCAAGCTGGAGTGCAGTGGCTATTCACAGGTACAGTCACAGTGCACTGTGACCTCAAACTCATGGGCTCAAGCGTTCCTCCTGCCTCAGCCTCCCTAATAGCTGGGATTATAGGCATGCACCACCATGCTTGGCTTTACCACTCTGGTTTGAATTAATACCAACTTAATATTTATAGTAAACAAAAACTTTTCTCCTATATAGCTCTGTCCCCCTCAAGTTATTATGTCATATTTACATTTTTTTTTGAGACGGAGTCTTGCTCTGTCACCCAGGCTGGAGTGCAGTGGCGTGATCTTGGCTCACCTTAACCTCTGCCTCCCGGATTCAAGTGATTCTCCTGCCTCAGCCTCCTGAGTAGCTGGGATTACAGGTGTGTGCCACCATGCTCGGCTAATTTTTGTATTTTTAGTAAAGACGGGGTTTCACCATGTTGGTCAGGCTGGTTTTGAACTCCTGACCTTGTGATCTGCCCGCCTCGGCCTCCCAAAGTGCTGAGATTACAGGTGTGAGCCACCGTGCCTGGCCCATAATTACATTTTTATACAATGTTTGTTCATCAACATTGTCTTATAATTACTGTTTTATGTTTTATTCATTTTTTTTGAGATGGAGTTTTACTCATGTCACCCAGGCTAAGTGCAATGGTGTGATCTCAGCTCACTGCAACCTCTGCCTCTCAGGTTCAAGCAATTCTCCTGCCTCAACCTCCTGAGTGACTGGGATTACAGATGCCCACCACCATGCCCAGCTAATTTCTGTACTTTTAGTAGAGATGGGGTTTCACCATGTTGGCCAGGCTGGTCTTGAACTTCTGATCTCAAGTGATCTGCCCACATCAGCCTCCCAAAGTGCTGGGATTACAGGCATGAGCCATCACACCCAGCCCGTTTTATGTTTTTTAAACCACATAGAAAAGGGGATTTCAGTTGTCAAAAATGCATGAATACCAACTTTTATGTTTGCATGAATACCAACCTTTACCAGTGTTCCTTTCCTCTTCATTTGGATTTGAGTTACTACTTGGTGTACTTTCACTTTGCTGTGAAGGATTTTTAGCATTTCTTGTCAGGAACATCTACTTATGATGGAGTAGCCATGGTTCTACTCCCCACTTTACTCCTGTAGTTGAAGTCCCTGAGCCGAAAAACCTTCCTTATTAAAAGGACCAGGCCCAGGTCTGGCTCTGTGGCTCGTGCCTATAATCGCAGCACTTTGGGAGGCCAAGGGTGGGAGGACTGCTTGAGCCCAGGAGTTCAAGACCAGCTTGGGCAACAGAGTGAGACCTTGTCTTTATAAAAGATTGAAAAATTAATAGGGCACACACACCTGTAGTCCCAGCTACTTGGGAGGCTGAGGCAGGATGATCACTTGGGCCCAGGAGGTTGAGGCTATACAGTGAGCTGTGATAATGCCACTGCACTCCAGCCTAGATGACAGATTGAGACCCTGTCTCTAAAATAAAATAAAAAAATAATAAAATAAAATAAAATAAATAAAATAAAATACAATAAAATATAAATCCAGGCACAGTTCCTGCTTATCCCTGAGTAGTACGTTTCAGTTTCCTGCCAGCTCTCAGAGTTAAACCAGACAATTGCATCCTCCTGCAGGAACTAGGGGTATAAAGCTCTCTTGATAGTGAAAAGCCTGCTTCCCAAAGCCCTTGGCTGTTCACTTATTCCTGAGTGAAATCTCTCTGTGGTCTTGTCTGTTGCAGTGCCCTCCTCTCCTGGGCTGTAAGTACAAGTGACTGATAAATGCTGTCAAAATCACCTATGAGGCGTTGAGTATGCTTCAGCCATCCCATGACCCAAGGGTAGGAATTCCTTCCTCACCCACAGGGTGAAGAGGAGGCAATGACAATTGGAATCATGAACAGGATGGTCCTAGGGCCCCTGGTGAGCTGTAATTAACTGTTCTTGGCAGATAACTGGCTCCATGATACAGCAAAGGCTGCCTGGGCCCAAATTGGAGGTTGCTGGTGGGCTTGTGCTTTGGCCTTCATTGTTGTCACTTCTTCCCACCCTAGGTGGCTCTTGTCTCCAACATGAGGATTGTTACTTGACTCTACGGTGGCATACTATGCTCTTGGGTTTGGTGTGTTCATAGGTGGTTTCTGAGGCTCCCTCCTGTAAAGGCAGTGACAACACAGCGCCGTAACCAGTTGGTGCTTGAGTTCAGCTTACCACGAGTCAGGCCAGGTATCTTTTGTTGCTGTGTCTACTCTGTGAACCATCACTGGCTACTTGGGGGAGCTATACAGATGTTATTCGTGATTGTGCACCCACCCCTTGGGACAGGTCCAGTCTTCCTCAGGTTAGTGGAAAGGAAGAAAGAAGACCACTACTCCAGGGAGAATTAAACATGACACCGTGGATGCCTAGTGAGTGTTTTTCAGGCAAGAGTAATGGCCTTGCCTGGCACTTGGGCGTTGCTTCCCCTACTTCTGTTCGGCGCTTCTCCCCTGGTGTCTAAGAGCATGAAGGTGTGAATCCATTATAGCCCGCAACCCAGGGGCTGATAAAGAAAAGAGTAGAAGGAGCATTTGGTACCAGCCTCTCCCACTGGAGGATGTAGCTCAACTGCTTTCCCCATGCAAAACCCCTAGCCAGTGCACCTGGGCTTTGCTTAGTATGGCTGCTTACCAAGAAGCCAGAGGGCTAAGCTTGGAATGGCACAGCTTGTTGGCTCCCACCTGAGCCATAAACAAAATGACCTAATCATTTATTCACACTATTTTTAAAACATTCACTTAGAAAATATGTGTTTCAAGATTTTTTTATAACGCTATTTTCCATTCTATTGTCATGAATGTGCATAGTAACGAAGCACACACTATAAAATTTTCTTTAAACATATATATTTTTGAAAACCATAAATTACTAAAATTTTATCATATCTCACCCTATTTAAAGTGATAACTTTTAAATTAAAATAATTCACCATGGATACATTTGAAAGCAAAATATTGTGATAGTAATTTATCAAAATAAAATAATTTTATTCACTTATCAAACTTTCTAAAGGAGATCATTAATCTTTTTTTTTTTTTTTTTTGAGACGGAGTCTCGCTCTGTCGCCCAGGCTGGAGTGCAGTGGCCGGATCTCAGCTCACTGCAAGCTCCGCCTCCCAGGTTTACGCCATTCTCCTGCCTCAGCCTCCCGAGTAGCTGGGACTACAGGCGCCCGCCACCTCGCCCGGCTAATTTTTTGTATTTTTTTTAGTAGAGACGGGGTTTCACCGTGTTAGCCAGGATGGTCTCGATCTCCTGACCTCGTGATCCGCCCGTCTCGGCCTCCCAAAGTGCTGGGATTACAGGCTTGAGCCACCGCACCCGGCCGATCATTAATCTTTTATGGTGTTATTACAAACAAAATGATTTTGTTTAGATATCTAAATTCCGTTTATGATCTTTTGAATTGTTTGTCAAGGAATCTAATTTATCTGGGCTATAAAAACTTGCTGCTTTGAGCTTTTATTTTTTCATCATTCTATTCCATTGTAAACTGTAATGTAACAAAAATGCTGTCTCTGTTATGCCATTACAGAATTTCTTGTAACAGTAACCCATTAAAGTATATTAAAAGTGAAAAAAAAAAAATTCCCTTCCTTGATGTGGATCCTAACCCTGGAGAGATTGATTGGCCCTCCCCGTTAGAAGAGGCAGCTGCCTACAAGGTGAGCCGTTGGGTCCCTGAACCTTTCCCTGTTCTCACCCAGAAGGTCCACATGGTGATGGGACAGTGACTGAAATGGAAAGCTGCAACTTATTGTGGCTAGAAATCTAAAATATTGCTTGGTAATTTATATATAGACAGCAATAAAAAAGCCTGTGTCATGGAAAAGGCAGGACTGTTGCTAAGGATAGTTTCAGTCCACCCACTACTGGGCCATGGGCCTTGCAGGTTTCCACTGCAGTATTTTGCTGCCTGAGCTTCCATTGCAAGAAAAATCTTGCTCTGTAGGGTCATAGGGAAAAGTCACCCTATGGCACCCTGTGGCATTGTGAGGGGGCTAATTCAAACCCAGCCTAAGCCTGAGGTTCTTAAACCCTGTAAACCAACCATTGCCTTGCAGGGAAGGAGGAGGCCTCTCACCCTGATGATAATGATTTGAGGCTCTCTGGAGAAAGATACCTATAAATATAAGCAGGATAAAAAGAACTTCTTCTCCCTATCTGTATGTTCTTAGGGAGTTTCTGAATATAAAATAGAGACTAAATAAGTATGCCTCACCTTAACTGTTGTCTCTCCCAGATTCCCTATGGTCATAGCACTTATGACCTTAGAATATACCGTGGTGGACATGGAATCAGTGAGCAATAAATTAAAATGAAGTCATTGGCACTTAACAACTTGGCTTAATGAAAAGGGACCTTATGAAAATCACAGTTAAAATAATGTCGGGCTGGGCATGGTGGCACGTGCCTGTAATCCCAGCACTTTGGGAGACCAGGGTGGGTGGATCTCCTGACGTCAGGAGTTTGAGACCAGCCTGGCTAACATGGCCAAATCCCGTCTCTACTAAAAATACAAAAATACAAAAAAACCAAAAACAAACAAACAAAAAAACTAGCCAGGTGTGGTGGTGCATGCCTGTAATCCCAGCTACTCAGGAAGCTGAGGCAGGAGGATCATTTAAACTGGGGAGGTGGAGATTGTAGTAAGCTAAGATTGCACCACTGCACTTCAGCCTGGGTGACAAGAGTGAAACTACATCTCAATAAATAAATAAATAAAAATAAAAATAAATAAAATAGTTAATATGGCCAATGTAAATTAAAACAGAGCCTTTTGGCCGGGCGCGGTGGCTCACGCCTGTAATCCCAGCACTTTGGGAGGCCGAGGCGGGCGGATCACAAGGTCAGGAGATCGAGACCATGGTGAAACCCCGTCTCTACTAAAAATACAAAAAATGAGCCGGGCGCAGTGGTGGGCGCCTGTAGTTCCAGCTACTCGGGAGGCTGAGGCAGGAGAATGGCGTGAACCCAGGAGGCGGAGCTTGCAGTGAGCCAGGATCACGCCACTGCACTCCAGCTTGGGCGACAGAGCGAGACTCCGTCTCAAAAAAAAAAAAAACAAAAAAAAAACAGAGCCTTCAAGAATTAAGGCTGGGCATGATGGCTCCCAGCATTTCAAGAGGCTGAGGCAGGCAGATTGCTTGAACTCAGGAGTTCAAGACCAGCTGGGGCAACATGACAAAACCCTCTCTGTACCAAAAAAAAAATTAGCTGGGCATGGGGGTGCACACCTGTAATCCCAGCTACTTGGGTGGCTGAGGCATGAGAATTGCTTGAACATAGGAGGTGAAGGTTGCAGTCAGTCAAGATTGTACTACTGCACTCCAGCCTGGGTAACAGAGCAAGACTCTATCCAAAAAAAAAAAAAAAAAAAAAAAAGAATTGAAACTTGTAAGAAGGGGTGATTATCCCTACTGTACCTACATTTAGCAGCCAAACTTGGCCTCTTTAACCTGGAAAGCATGAATATGAATAGTGCCTCATGGTGGATTACTGGAATCTTAAGGTCTTCAGACCTGATACCCAATGTTATTGAAGTTACTGACTCCATCTAATAAGCAACTGGTAAATATTTTGCTATTATAGATTTGACTTGTGTTAGGGTTCTCTAGAGGGACAGAACTATATCTATATATCTATATATATATAAAATATGGGAGTTTGTTAAGTATTAACGCATACAAACACAGCGTCCCACAACACACTGTCTGCAGGCTGAGGAGCAAGGAGAGCCAGTCCAAGTTCCAAAACTGAAGGACTTGGAGTCTGACGTTCGAGGGCAGGAAGCATCCAGCATGGGAGAAAGATGTAGGCGGGAAGGCTAGGCCAGTCTCTCTTTTCACATTTTTCTGCCTGTATATATTCTAGCCTTGCTGGCAGCTGATTAGATTGTGCCCACCCAGATTAAGGTGGGTCTGCCTTTCCCAGCCCACTGACTCAAATGTTAATCTTCTTTGGCAATACCCTCACAGACACACCCAGGATCAATACTTTGCATCCTTCAATCCAATTAAGTTGACACTCAGTATTAACCATCACAAGTCCACCCCTTGTCAATTTGAACCCATACACATCTCCTGAGATCATACATAATCTTCAAATAAAGACAATAATAAGGTCATAATTATGCCTAACATAATACAACTGTCCTTCATACAACGGGAAACATACCAATTCCCAACCCAAATACTATTACATAAAGTTAACAATACATAAATGCTGATGTGAAGTCAATAAATATTATGTCACATGATAAAGAGAAAGGAAATAAAGTGAAGTTTTTTTAGTACAAGTATATATATGCACAAACATGTTCTTAACAAAAGAGAGAGGAAATACTCATGACAATTACAGTCCTCGTTTCTGCAGGGGGTCACATGGTCATAGCTGGTATTCATGACTACCTTCTACTATCCATTCTGTATTCCCTTTGCCTTCAGCAAGCACCTCAGCAGGTCATGGTTTTTTTCCTGGTGGAGTGACCCAAACCTTCATTCCTGAAGGGTCTGGGTCATTTGTAGTCCTGGCTGGATTGGGCTCTTATAGTTTCCTATTGATCTTAATTATAGTGCACAGTAATACTAAGAGACACCCTAATGATCTCCTGTGTTCCATACATACTCTTCCTTACCTCCGTTGTGGAGTACTAGACTGATTCCATCTTGATAGTCTGGGTCAGTCACCCCAGGCAACACTCTAACTCCTTTTTTTTTTTTTTTTTTTTGAGAACGAGTTTTACTCTGTCACCCAGGCTGGAGTGCAATGGTACAATCTCGGTTCACTGCAACCTCTGCTTCCCGGGTTCAAGCAATTCTCCTGCCTCAGCCTCCTGAGTAGCTAGGATTACAGGCGCATGCCACCATGCCCAGCTAATATTTGTATTTTTAGGAGAGACAGGGTTTCACCATGTTGGTCAGGCTGGTCTCGAACTCCTGACCTCATGATCTGCCCGCCTTGGCCTCCCAAAGTGCTGGGATTATAAGCGTGAGCCACTGCGCCCGGCCCTGTAACTCCCTTCTTAGCCTGTTCACTTAAAGGTAGGAGAAGCCCAAAGTGTCCAGGTGGCAATCTTCCAGTTTAATGGAATTGTTGTTGGGTCTCCTGGTGGCAGTGTTCCTCCCTATGGAACTAAGACCTCTAGGTCAGCAAAACGTAATGTTGCAGGAATAGGAAGCAAAAATTTTGCTAGTGGAACACTAGGGGTGATGGTAAGTGGTTCCACTTTCACTTCCACCCCTTGATTCCTGGACCCATGAATCCTAGCTAAGGGAGAAACAGTACCAAATATTGGATGCTGATTCAGAGCATACACAGCCTTCTGGAGAACTTTGCCCCAGCCTTGCAAAGTATTGTCATCTAGTTGGTGTTATAATTGTGACTTCAAAAGGCCATTCCACTGTTCTGTCAATCCAGCTGCTTCAGGATGATGGAGAGCATGGTAAGACCAGTCAATTCCATGAGCATG